TACAATGGGTTTCTTACAATGGTTATGAATTTTCTTTGCTAATATCTTTTAAAAATTTATCTGAATGCTAAGGTTTAGTAGTGGTAGTGTCTGAAGACAAGGAGCTAACTAAGGACCTCCCAACATTTCTCTGGTCCTAAATAAAGACCACTACATTTGGTTGATCAGAGTGTAGCATCAACAAGTCATTTTTTTATTATTTGCAAATCAAACCACAGCCTAGTTTCAGTTTGGTATGAACTTTAAGAAAACAATTTTTGTAAACTTCTTTTAGTGTTAGTATTAGAGTGATTTTATTATAATTTAGAAATTTTGTAGAAAAAGAATCTACTGCCATAGTAATAAAATTTTAAAGATTGATTTCTTTCTAAAAGGATAGCTCTTCCTTCAATATTGATGACCCAAAAAATCTCTCTTAATAAACATATAAATACATATATAAGAGACACAATATAATTGATGTAGAAAGTAATAATTAAATATTTTCATCTCAATTTAAGTATATTTTTATAGCTTGGTTTATTTTTTTAAAAAATATGACTAACTAAGTAATGTATACAACGGGGAGGAATAGCAACTCATTGGGAAAGTGTAAGAATAAAGAAGAATCTCTCTATTTCTAGTACAACTTAAAATAAACAAATATTTGTTAAATTAATATTTATCTAGTGATAAATATTGAATATTCATGTCATATCACAGTCATTAAAATGTATAATTCATAAACTCGATGAACTATTTTATTTTAGTTTTTAAAATATAATTAATGAGTGAATTTTTTTAGATTAGAATACTTTGATCATATCTCTTAAATTTTTAATGGAATCAAGTATTAAAGGATATTTAATAAGCAGTAATTTTAAATGAAGTTTATAATGATACTTTTTTTTTAGTGTTCGTGAACTTCTGGATTTCACGATGACATTGTTTTCCAGATTAAAGCCATAGTAATTTTAATTTTTATGACTGCTTAAAAACCTTGCATTTGACCTGATTCATGTTTTAAATGTCCCAGGGACAATGTTAGGTATGTTAATTGAAGCTATTTCCCAAAGCCAATTATCTTCACCTATTATATAGCTTAATTATTTAACTATAAAAGCAAGACTATTTAAGAAAGATTTTGGAAAGAAAGGAAGAAAGGAAACGACGGATAAAGGGAGGAGTGGGAAGGGGTAGAGAGGAGAGGGGAGGGAGTGAAAGAGGAAGAAAGAGGAAAAGGAAGGAAAAAATAGAGGGAGGGAAGAAAACAAGGATGGGAGAAGAGAGAGAGAGAGAGAAAACCTTTTGAATTTACTCAAAGACAAATCTAAAGCATTTCAGGTGTTTAGTTATTGTAACATGTAATAGAAAATAAAATGTGATGCATTGATAACAAGGGTGATAAAGAAAAGAATTATAATGTCTCTTGTGGGCTAACAACGTTGTATCAGGGCCACACTTTCTTTATGTGGTAGTAATCTGTAGAATAACAAATCATAAAATAAAAAGCTTATTGATAAAGTTAACATATAATATTTATGTTCATATACATACAATCTTATCTGTAACAATCTTCTGGGAAGTTTCTAAGATGTTCTGAATGCCAAAATGTTTTAGGCATTTGAGAGAGAACAACCCACAATACCAAAAGTTAACCTATTTTTATTTTATCAATTAAATGTACCATAAATACCTTGGCTTTATTAAAGACAGCATGCTAGGTATAATTAACATATGTCAAGTTTCTTGCTATCTGTTCTGTGATAGTCATAAGAATTTTAGAACTATGTTACTGAATAGATAGACTGAATGGATACTGATGCTCACGGAAACTCTAAAATTTGTTCTTGATACAGTTTATGCTGTAATTTTGCTCTTTCATCATGCACCTCTTCACGCCAAGGTGGCATGGAACATATACTACATACCTTCCTGGGCAGTGTACTAGGACAAGATTTACTAGGGCCTTCAGTCCTAAAGCATCTTTCCCAAGTCCTTTTGCTCAATTGTATTGCCATGTATGGTCATGTTAAGGGACTATTGCCTTTGAGATAGCATAGGTAAATATTAAGTTGGTTTAATATTTAAAGATCCGTGTTTTAGTATGAAGCAAGTTTGGTCAGGTAATAACTCTCCCATTTACTAACTGAGGAAATTTCAGGAAATGAGTTAATTCTTAAAGCCTTGATTTTCTCATCTGTAAAGTATGGATACTATTCATACCAACTTCTGGATTTCTTGTAAGTATAAATATGAGAATACAGATAATTCACATTGCCTGATATGTAGTAAGACACTCAAATTGATATCTAACAACTCCTGTCATTATCATTATTGTGAAAATGCAAGCAAAATTGCCATTGTGTGTGATTATAATAGGTCTGATTCTGTCCAAATAGAAAAAGAGTATTCTAATAAATATGCCTCTTTTCTACACTCAGTGGCTGAAATGGCCACCCATGGCTAGGGGAAATCAGTTGTTCATATGTAAATATTTATCCCAGAGCTGACAGTTTCTTACCATTCTTTCAAGATTTCTACAATGTTTGATATTTCCAAAATCTTGAAATATGTAAATATTTTAAATATCAATTGGAGTGTCCGGGCATCCTTGATGCATGGTTATTCATTCACTAACTCAGGCATTCATTCAAATACTCCTTGGGTGCCTATGTGGGTCAGGTACCATTCAAGGTGTTCACATAGAGCCCCTACCCTTGTGACGCTTATATTCTTGTGTGGGAGACAAACAATAAAAAAGTAAACACATAGAATGTATGTTATGATTCCATGTAGTGTTGCTGAAGAGACATACATTAGAATGATGAGTTAGAGGGCTTGGTGAAGAGGAGGTTAAATTTAGTAGCTGGAAATCTGGCAGAAGAGCATGGCAGGCAAAAGGCCAAGGCAACGAAGTAGGAACAGGGACAATGTGGTGAAAGAGGAGTGAGCAAGGAGATGAAGTTGGATAGGTAAGCAGAAACCAGATGTCATCAGCATATGATAGCCCCTAGTAAGGAGTTTGGATTTAATTTTTGTGTGTGATGGAAAATAATTGGGAATTTGAACAGTATTTAGGAGATGGTTTATATTTTTAAGAGATAACTTTAATAGAATAAGAGCAGAGAGTCAATTAAGAGTCCACTGAAGGTAATAAGCGGATGGAAGAGATGAAAAGTGATCTGTCTACATAAGGGCATGCTTTCATTGAGGTCTTACGGAGGGACTTGATAGTAATTTGGTTGTGGAGTATGACAGCAAGAGAAGGCGTCTATGGTCATTCCTAGGCTTTCAGAGAGACCAACTTGGTGAAAGATTGGGCCTTTTGTGGAAAAGGTACAAGTTTGGGAGAGGAAATCAGGATTCTTGTTGTGGGTTTTTTTAGTTGAAAATAGAATGTCTAAATTGACAATTGTATATACTACTTTGGAATTTAAAGGATGAGAATTTAGCCAGAAATTTAAATTTGGGAATTGTGAAGGAATAGAAGATATTCAAAGGCATGGAACTGGAAGAGATTTTAGAGGCCTAGCATAGAGGTAGAGAAAATAAGTGTCTGTGATAGAGCCTTGGAACACTCCAGAAAGAGTGGGAACAAGCACAGTCTAAGATAGAGCAGCCAGATAGGAAGAAGCAAAGGCAGAAGAGTGAAAAAAGTTAAATGAGGAATGTGTTCAAGGAGGTAGTAATCAACTGTGATGTGTATTGTATGAAAGGGTTGGACTTCCAGATACTTATTAGGGAATTATACAAGTCCTAAAGGCTAACATATTTGACCTGTAGTCCAAATGTGATTCAGGAACCAACATGAACAACAGATTCCATTCAAGGACAGTCACAAAGAAGATCAACGACGCAAAGAACAATGTTCTTAGAACCATCCTTACACCAAAGTAGCCTTAGAGTCCAACCAAATCCACAGCCTACGGGGATAATGTCCTTACTTCTCCCATATCAGAATGATGCCAAATAGAGGTGTTTATCTGTAAAGAGTTTAGTGGTGTAATATAGTGTCAGTTTGGGTTTGAAGCCAAGCTGTACCACATACCAGCTCTGTGTCTGAATTATTTATTTGACTTCTAGGACTGGCTTAAGAAATTTTTCAGGCCTTAAGCACTGAAAAGATCATAGTTCTCACCCCAGTGTTACCCTATGTAATTCAAAATGAAACCAATCTAAACTCTAAGTAAAGACATCCAATGAATTTTGACTATTCTCATTATAGTCTCTTTTTTAAATTGTCAAATATTTCTTTCTTTAAAAATGAATCTTTTGCTTGATATTCCAGCTTATTGGTTTGTGTCTGGGATACTTCAACATTCTTTAATTCCTTATGAGCTTCAAGTTCATTAACTAAAAAATGAGTGATAGAGTACACATCTATCATCTATAGTGTGGTTCTGGCACGTAATAAGCATTCAACAAGGGTTACCTATCATGATTTTACTATTATTACTATCGTCATTATTAGTAATGTTATCCTAAAGAATTGTGAGGATTAATTTAAATTATTTATGAAAAAACCTAGCATGGTAAACAGAGCAGGTGGTAAATAATTTTTGTTTCCTTCACTTTCATATCTATTCCTCCGCTTTACCACAATCCTCCACACTTTATCATTCTCTGAGTATCACAGAGTTCAAACATGTATAATAAAAGAAAGCTTATAATCATCTCAGAAGATAAAATATTAAGCAGACATGGTGTTTAAGGTGGAAGGTGAGATTCATATAAGTAAGGGAAAGTGAAAGAGAAGATACCCAAGGCAACCATTAATTTGTTCTTTCACATAAATAATTTAAAATAACATGTAGGAAAGACACTTCATTGATTTATATTAAGTTATCCTAAAGAAATAAAGATTCTGCTACATTTCAAACCTGAAAGTGTGAAATGTTGAAGTATGATTTTTCCCTTCTAAAAGGCCATCTTAGAAATCAGTATAACATTGTCACTACAGTTTGTATTCATTTTGTGAGAGTGAATTAAATAATATATAATTTCATTTTAGGGATTACCTGCAAGTCGTGTGAGGTATAGAGTAGATGATGTCCAATTTCCTTATCCTGCCAGTATTTTTGATGTAGAAGAAGATTCTGGTAAAGTAATAACTCGAGTCAATCTTAATGAAGAACCTACAACAATTTTTAAGGTCAGTGAAGTGTTTTCCTTATGTTGTCTATTTGATGTTTAACTTTTGATTGCGGGTTTTGTTTAACAGATGACCATACTTCTTTCCATTTTTCTTTTTAATTTTTTAAAATTTCAAAAAAGTATATTTTTACTGCATAAACACTTAGAAAATACTTAAGTAAAACACTTAAGTAAAAAGAAAAAAAAAACCCTTGATATTTCACTTCTTGGAGGTAGCCGGAATTTACCATTTTAATCTCTATCCATTTGATAATATTCCATGCAAATACAAGTACATAAATATATGTTTTAAAATAACATGATCATATTGTTCATACTGCTTTTTTAACTGAATAATTTATTGCCATGACAATAAATACTATTAATACTATTATTTTAATGGTTGTATCATGTTCTATTGTATGAATTTACTATTATGGGGATTTTTTGTCTAATATCTTATTGTTGGATAATTAGGCTGTGTCCATTTTTTTGGTTATAATAATCTTTGTTATCATGAAACTCCTTGTGCAAATATCATTTGCCACTTGCTGACTTTTTTCCTTAAGATAAGTACCTAGAGGCAGAATTACTGGATGGGAAGTTTACATGGTCATGCTATGTTATACTTCCAGAATATTTGAAATAAAACCATCTTTCATTATTATCATAAGTAATTTATTTTATTTAATGTTGAGTGTTTCCATTTTCTGTAGTTACTTAGAAAAGTGTTTGTCACTGTGAATGAAGCCCTTTGCCCTACACTGGGCAAATACCACATCAGTTAACTTTGTGAATACCAATAGGTACTATGTCTTACATAATTTTACTATTGTTTGGAATAAATGTTCTGTTTGTAAAGCATTAACCCAAAGGTAAATCGTGGCTCTCAGGATGATCCTTGGTTATGGTTCCATGATCTAGTTCGAATTAGTTAGATTATTAACCTGCAGCTTCCAAATTACATACATTTCAGAGAAACACATAGTTTTGAAAACACTTAACATTTCTTAAAATAGACATTAGAATTTTTCTTGACATATAGGTTATCAAAGAAAATGATCAATTATAAGAGCTATTTTAGTAATAAATAATACATAGCTGTCACGTCTTAAGACTACAGCTTTTCTTTAGTTTACCTCATTTGAACAATTTCTGCTTTACAGTGTGAACTTGGTTTTATATATTTTAATTGTTTTTAAGAAAGCGTATATCAAAGTGTGTTAAGCTATAAAGATTTCCAATTTTATCCTCCAGAGCAAGGTATTTCTACCCTATAATCTTACAGACTGTTAATTCACTGGAAAAATTAATTTCTTCTTTTAAGCAAGATAATTAGCTTTTTGCTATGGACAGGACTGACTTTAACACTTTTTCAATAAGTATTGGTGCTTATAAAGGCACATGTTTTTACTGTAGGCACCAGTAGGATTGTGGAAGAGAAAAGAGTTTATAATTGGAGAGATATAGTATCGTATACTTGTTTTACTGGTAGTTTTTTTATCATAGAGTTAGTAACTCAATTTCTTTGAGTTTTTTCATTTGGCAAGGGAAAATAATAACATCCACCTGACAGGCTTGTTGTGAAGATTAAATGAGACCACACGTAGCATTTCCTAGCACAGGGTCTGCTACCTAGTAGGCAGTGAGGAAAATGGTCATTGCTCCCCCTCCTGGAAGCAGGCAATCCCGTGATTAAAAGTATACAGAGAAAAATTATGCTTTTATTTTTCTTCTTGTTAATAATCTTTAACATGAATTTTTATTGCTTTTTAAGTTGGTGGTGGTTGCTTTTGATGACGGTGAGCCTGTGATGTCCAGCAGTGCCACAGTGAAAATTCTTGTCTTACATCCTGGAGAAATCCCACGCTTCACACAAGAGGAATATAGGTATTGATTCTATCAGGTTTAGTAATATATATAGGTTTTCATTTTGTTTTGTTTTGACCTCTTGAAATTGATGTGATATGAATTTATCAATGACATGAGCTTCTAATTCTAGTTTGAGCATTTCTAAATTAATATAACATTATATTTATTTTAAAAGTTGATATAGTTAAAAGTACAATTTAGTATAAAAATATCAGTTTTAGTAATGTGTTGATGAATAATGGCTCCTTTAATAATAATTAAAGCATGCTTTGAAAAATATTATATTTTTGGATTTAAATTGCAACTGGTTAATGATCTCAGTGATGAGAAGTACACATTTAGTTTCTTGTTATTGCCAGATACATTGTATCATCTAATTTTCGTGTGCATCTGAAATATTTTCCATATAATCAGTGCAAGAGAGTGTGTGTGTTTATGTGTGTAATATTTTCTTATAGCTATAGAGTTAGTATATATATACTGTTTTAGTCAGGTCAGGCTGCCAGAACACAATACCACAGACTGGATGGCTTAAACAACAGGCATTTGTTTTCTCACAGTTTGGAAGCTGGCTGTGTAAGATCAGGTTACCAGCATAATCGGGCTCTGGGGAAGGGTCTCCTCCTGGCTTGTAGACGGCTGCCTTCTCACTGTGTCCTCACATAGAGGAAAGTGAGGGAAAGCTTTCTGCTGTCTCTCATCTTGCCACTAATCCCAAGATAAGGACCTCACCCTCATGACCTCATCTAAGCCTAATTACCTCCCAAAGGCCCATCTCCAAATATCATCCCATTGAGGGTTAGGGTTTCAATATATGAATTTTAGAAGGACATAATCCAGTCCGTGGCATGTGTGTGTGTGTGTGTGAGAGAGATATCGCCATCCTTAGGACGTGATGAATTGATTGAAAGAATAATGAAATTAAAATTACTGTATTTCATGATTGCTTCATGATTGGATATAAGTGATAGAAAGACTTATAATGCTCTCCTGGAAATATAATAGCATTTTCTTTCATGATGTTTTTGTCTCCATTGAATTCAAACATTAAGTTACTTTCAATAGTATGTTAAGACCCGTAGGAGATGGTTTTCTCACAAACATTTGAAGGAGGTTCACTATACAATGTATAATTACTATTTACTTATTCTGGACACAGCATTAAATGGCAGTGAGTCATTGCATTCCAGAGGCTCACAACCATGAAGTGAAAACAAGGAAGTACATGAAAAATACAATACACTGTGAAAACGCAATAATAGAAGTTCACAGCACTGAGGAAGCGTGCTGGAGAGACTGTTAACTGTTTCTGAACACGATCAGCATAATTTTAAGCTGATCATGAAGGAAAGATAAGAGTTTAGCCTCTCCATAAAAATTTGAAAAGATGTTCCATGCCAAAGAATCAACATATACAGAGAGAGAAATAAGGGATATGAGAGTGTAGGGGAGGAGGACATTTCCTCTCCCCAAATGTGGGTTCGTCTGGCCGGAGAACGAATTAAATTCACATGAGACAGAATAACAAGAGAAAATTAAACAAAGCTTTATGAGGAACCATGGCCCGGGGCCTTTCTTCCCGAAGGAAGAAAGGGCACCAAAGAAGTGGGGTGCACACAGTGGTTATATACCCCCAAACGGGGTGTTTCACATGTGATTGAAATGTCCCTCCCACAAGGGTCACAAGATTGCCCTGTCACACAGCGCTTCATGGACACAGCAGGTAGTGGTCTGCTATCTCGGAGGGCGTAGCAGGAGGCAAGTCGATTGTCTGGAGCTGAGTGGTCACAGGTGAGCTCAGCAATCAGTTCCTAGCCTAAAGAAAGATGCTTAATCTTTAAGAAATGCCAACGTTGGGAGGGGGAGGGAAGTCAGTTACAGGAGGTTACCAGACTAGCACAATAAAATGCAGATTTAAGTCCTTGCCTTTGGTATTGATTAAGAGTTTTTGGAGAGAAGGTCATCTCCTTTCTTCTTCCTGGTACAGAGAGGGAGCCACCTTTTACAGATAGAGATTTACCTTACAAATGTAAATGTGTCCTAACAAAGGGCAAGTTCCATTCCTCAGAGCCTCCTTGCCTGTCCCAGTTTATCAAAAGCAATGAGCCTCAAATAATCCTGATGCCAAAGAGACATATCTTGGGGTGGCCACTTTCAGGTCCCCACAAGAGAATGTATTGAATTTCAGAATATTTTAGTAGTTCAGTCTATCTAGAGACAAACTGGAAGCTAAAGAATGATACTACTTGAGGCTCAAGAAAAATGAAGATTTCATTCAGTAGAACTCTTAATCACATTCTAGAATTTGGATTTGATTGCTTTCATAATTTCTAAGAACTACTTAAGAATTTTAAGCTAGAGCAAGGGCTAAGATACTGAAGGAGGAGGTAGGTGACGCATCTGGAAACATGTTCCACGCCGAACCAAATATTTTTCTCCTCTTATAAAAAGTCATCTTTATCATATTGAAGTACTAAATTAAATTATGTAATATAATTACCATAAAATCCTACATAATGCATAATAAACCATTGAGATGTAAATTATATGCGAAACAATAAATATTTTTGGTCAACCCATTTAAAAGACCATTCTTTTTCTCATGTCCATTATTACCAATTCTGTTCCTTTTTTGTTGACATGGTAGCCTATGGACTCCAATTCTTTTCTATGGGACATACAGTTTTCTGCTTTTTGAGACTTCTCTGAATGTGTTAATTTTGGTCTTCTCAAGAAATGAGACGGATGTAAACTCACGTATGTTTCTCACTAACTTACCTAGATCAGAGGCTCACAAAAAATGTACTTACTATTTAAGATGGGCTCAAAAATCCCTCAGGGGTCAGCCCAACAAAATGACCATCGTTGTGCTCCCGAACTTACCCCTAATGACTTCTTGGAAGCCCCAAGAGAAGCAGACAGTGATGTGGTGCATAACCCTTGCCTTTCAAATAAACTCAAAAAATGGTGGCCTGTTTCTCTGGACTTTAATTTGGAGCTCATTTCTTTATTAATAGTAGTATGTCTCCAGACTTCTCTATCACAATCCTCGTTAACTCTTTTAACTAAAATATTGTGGCTTTAAGGCCAAGGTCATAGTTCTCTTTGTTTAACTAATGCTCATTTAGTTTTCCTTTTTTATGTATCTTTGTTTAATGCCGCTTTTTAAAAATAAAAACGTTTTGTTCAACGAATAATTTATCATTTCTTCCTTCTCTGCATAGAACTACTAACTGCAAATAGATTCTATTAATAAAGTTGTTAACTTAGAAAAGAAAATCTGTCCAATTATTTGGTGCTAAAATTAAGAGGGAGTCTCATGAGCACACGCAGAAGAATTTTTGACCTTCTAGAAGAACAGCTCCAACAATTGTAAATAGTGCCCTTGACTATCCCAGTTCATATGTTATTCTGACACATAAAGGCAATTTGGTAATCTTGGTGCATCCTACAGTTTATGAAGAGATTCCTATGTAAGAACCAGTATAATTGCCATAATGGATTCAGTAGTACTTGGGTACCGAACAAGTTTGTTTTGTTTTCTATCAGACACCCAGAATACTTGGATAATAAAAATGTCATGTCAAATATTGTCGGAAGACACTACTTTTTTATTAAATGCAAATAATTGATTGAAATGTTTATGTAGGCTTATATTATACATAAAACATGGAATTAACTATTGAGAAAACCTAAGGCTGATGATTATCTTCTTCATTAATTTTCTCCATGGTTTTGAAAATTTGGGGGGAAGTACATAGCAGAGGTTTCTGGATGCCTCCTAAATCCTTTCCTCTTCTTCCCGGGCATACAGCTAGACTACATTGCCCGCCCTCATATTAGCTAGTACTGTTTCAACTAATATAATTGGTCAACATTTTATTGGAATGAAACAACTAATCACATAATATATTAATCATTTAAAAACTTTTCTTATTTGTATTGCAATATTTCTTAGTTTATCATTTTTTGTTTTGTTTTTTGCGGAAGATCAGCCCTGAGCTGCCATCTGCCACCACTCCTCTTTTTGCTGAGGAAGATTGGCCCTGAGCTAACATCTGTGCCCATCTTCCTCTATTTTATGTGGGATGCCTGCCACAGCATGGCTTGGTAAGAGGTGGGTAGGTCTGCACCTGGGATCTGAACCAGCGAACCTAGGTCTGCCGAAGTGGACTGCATGAACTTAACCACTGCGCCACTGGGCAGCCCCCTCGGTTTGTCATTTTTAAAGCAGTATTCATGGCGGAATATTTTTATTCTTGGATGCTGTTTTCTTTTTATGTGTTCAACTACTAACTTTGGCAAAATGCCTACACCATTTCAGATTTCTGCAAAGGCCAAAACAGTTTCTCTCCTTAACAGAAAAAAGTATATATATTATAGAATAATGCTGCAAACCTCATCTATCTCTTCTCTCTCTTATTTTTTTCAAATTCATTTACTGCCTCAGCTGGATTCACATAACTCCCGGAGATGTTAAACAATGTTATTGATCCTTGATTATCAGGATGATTCCTTGCATAGGAATTGAAGGATGGCAGAATATGCTCCCCAAAAATATACCACTTTGACATAAGGATTGTTTTGAGCTAAAGGCACTTAAGAAGCAGCAGATGCAGTGGCCAGCCCAGCGGCACAGTGGTAAAATTTCACTTCCCCTACAGAATTGTTCCTGGTGGAAAAACTTCTATTTTATGTGATCAAACATTGGGGGCATGCAAAATGATAATTCAAGATTTCTGTTCTTTGTAGGGTGTGGGGAGGAGGAGGCCCGTGGTTTATAAATGGAAAGCAGTAATCCAAGATAAGCAGCATTGCAAGCTGAGGTACATATTGTTTTTACATCTCAGGAAGGTCTACATTCCAATACTGACTTTTGAATTCCTTATGAAAAATTAATTTTCAACAAATGACTAGGTGTTAAAGAGAGGTTCTAAAGTTAAAATGTTCATTTATTTTAGAATTTTGAACTGACTTCTTAACCTGACCCCCCTCCCTCAACCCAATTATCTTATCTTACTTTTGGCATGGCCAGCCATTAAATCTTTAAATCTCAGGGAAAAAAAAATAAGATTTGTTAGGGTAAGTTAGGCTGCCATAAAAAGAAATCCTTAAATTTTACTGGTTCAAAGAACAAAAAAAAGCATGTAGTTTGGCTTGCATGACAGTCTAGAGTGAGTGTTTCAGGTTAGCAGTAGTGGTCGCTTGTCTTCACACAGTTCGTCCTTGTCGTTAAGGCACCCGGGCCAATCTACAGTTTTCCATCCTTCACATCCTGTTTCAAAATCACTCCAGTGATTGCCGTTTTAGCTTATGGAAAGGGAAAAAGGGCACAAGTCCACATCCAGAGATTTCCTGAACCAAGTGAGATGAGAAATGCAAATTTCACATGAGCTGAACTTTCGTCTTGAAAATCCGTGAAAATGTCCACACTTACCTATGAAAGGACAGAGGAGTGCTTTCCTTGCTAGCTAGGCAGCTATGTCCCAGTTCCACCTCTTTTACTGAAGAAAAAAGGCCAGTGGTGCTGGTAGAGAACTAGCACTTTAATTTGAGACAAGTTATAGATTTTAATTTCTGTGGTCATTTTGAAATGACTTGGTTTCTGTTAAGAATGTACGATATCAGGTACATGAACTAATAATGTAAGAATATATAAACATTTTTATTTTTAAATATGTATTACCGAAATAGATTATATACTTCTTAAAATAGTAAGAGAATGAATATTTTTTCTTTGAATTCAGACCAACATTAGATGAACATTTTTGAATGTTTTAAATTATTTCTAGTGATTTCAGCTCATCAAGTATTAATATCGCACAGTTCAAACCAAGCCTTTCTGGACTTCAAGCTAAAGTTTGCATATTTGATTACAACTAATTGCTTTTTTCATTTTCCTGAGAACTCTAATTGTCTTGATCACAAAAGTAAAAGAAAAGGAAAGTGAAAAAGAAACGTTATAGGGGCCGGCCCTGTGGCCGAGTGATTAAGTTTGCACGTTCTGCTTCAGGGGCCCAGGGTTTCATGGGTTCAGATCCTGGGTGTGGACATGGCACCACTCATCAAGCCATGCTGAGGCGGTGTCCCTCATGCCACAACTAGAAGGACCCACAACTGAAATATATAACTATGTACAGGAGGATTGGGGAGAAAAAGGAAAAATAAAATCTTTAAAAAAAAAAGGAAAAAGAAACGTTATGGCAGAGTGTAAATGAGAGTTGTGACCTATAAACCAGCTTTGTGGAGACCATCAAAAAGATTTGAGAGATGGCATTGACAATTTGGTGAAACACTTTCCAATGTACCAATTCTACCTAAACAGAGAAACAAAATCTGTTATTCTTTTCACAAAATTAAAAACATTTCAATTCTGAGCTACTGGTATTTGCTCAGTTGCTGGAATGTAACAGTAGACCTATCATTATCTCGTCTAAAATTATAAAAGTACAAATAGGAACCAACAAATAATAAACATCATAGTAAATACTTCAATATTTACTGAAGGAAAAACCTACCACGTTGCCAGCTACATTTTTGATGGCAGATAATTAGTAGGTTAGCTGACCAATGTAAAAATAACAATATAACAAAAATTGTTAAATTATTATATAACAATATAACAAACAAATCTTGTTTGTTATAACAATATAACAAATAGCCAAACCCTCTTTTCACATGCTTAATTATGTTATGCCTCTGTTTCCTTTTCATATTTAAAAACGTCCTTACCTTCTGCTGATCATTCTTGGAAAATAAATAAGTTCGTAGAATTATTCAAAGGTTTCTACAAAGACTACCCTATATTAAGTGAAATAATTTAGCTTGTCAAGAATAGAAGAGAAATTTCTCATGTTATTTTCTCGTTTATAACTCACTTTGTTGGGATATTTTATATGTGTTGGAAAAAGATTTGATTTTGTCTTTCTTCAAATCCTGTGAACTGAGGTTGTTTCCTAATGGGCTAGCTTCAAGTAATTTTTAAGGGAAGGAAGACTCTCATAATGGAAAAGCAATTTGCCCCATACAGATATATGTTTATTTTTATAATGGCCACATTTACAGTAATTCTTAAGATAAGTACGCTCTTGATTCTCTTTGGTCCCTATGGCAATTGTAATACTTGAAACTGACTCATTTTATTAATTTCATGACCTCTTCAAAGAAACCTGTCGCTGAGTCAATTAATTAGGTTAAATAGAAGATCAAGACATCGTCTGCAACATCTCTTTGTCATTAGATGAACATGTACGTTTTCCAGAAAACACTGAGTTCTTAAAACTTTTGAAAAGTTTATAACCCTTCAGAATATATAATAGTCATTTTTACAATTGTAAATAAACATTCATATTTAGAAGCATAAACACAGCCAAACATTTAAAAATTATAACAAATTTCTAGTTTCATACCTCATTCCTGTTTTATTTGGCTCTTTCAGTTTCTCTTTTTGACAAACAAGGAAATATCAGTAATTTCAGTATCGTAGAGTTTACATGCCCCAAATCATCATTCTTTATTCTTTCTTCCCCCCTTTCCTAGAATGAAATTCTTAGAGTTAATAGCATTTCTTTATTCTTTGTTGTTGAAACACCTCTTCCTTCACAAAATCATCTCCAGCTGGCCTCATTTTTAAAAAGTTTTTTGCAATGAATTAAGTCCAAGTAATAGCCCATACCTCAAATAAATAATCATAAATTTTGAGTTATTAACATTCAGGCAATTAAGAAGTTTCTCTATATCCATATGTAGTCTCATATCTTAATTTAAACCATTTTCCACAATTTGATTTTCATTGGAAGTAGAGAAAAATAGGTTAATCCTACTCAGAAAAATTCTGTTCTGAAAGTCATATCATCTAATTGATGAAACAGACCATAGAGATCATTTAATCAGATCATTTAATACTCAATTTCTCTCATACCCTTGCCACAAAGTTGACTAGGCTATTTTAAAAAACTTACAGCAAAGAACTCACCTCTTCAATCTTTGGATAACTGTGAATGTTGGGAAGTCATTCCTTATGCTGAGATTATTTTTATGTACTATATTCTTTTAAATTATTTTCTATGCATTTTTCTCTGAGTCTTCATCAATTTTAGCATTCACTCCCTCTTTCAAGTGGTGTGACTGTGTAGGGGAGGACAAGTAATTCTCCCTGTACCCTTCTGAGTGCTTAGCCGAGCCCCCTGTAATAAAAGACAGGTTAACAGCAGAAAAACAAACAGAAGTTTACTAACTTGTATACCTCGTGTACACATGGGAGATACCCAGGGAAAATGAGTAACTCAAAGATATGGCTTTAGAATTCAGGATTAAATATCATCTTAACAGGGACAGGGGAAGGGGGAGGTAGGCCTCTTAGAGGAGGGTAAATGGTTTTTAGGAAAGATGAACGGGCCCTTGGAAGAATAGATGGGAAATCTGATAGTTTGTTTTGTAACTGTCTACAGCTCAAAATAATCAATAAACCAAAGTGGCATATTTTGAGGTGGCATGTCCTGAACTCCTACAGTCATATTTTGGGGTGACATATTCTGCTATCCTTCCATTGAAACTAAACTAAACTCCTTACCTAAGACAGGTGACAAATAATGCTGTCCTATCAATTATGAGCAAGTATCTTGACAAGGATTATGCTTACTGGGAAAAAGAACTCTGCATACCTGGTAGTCTGCCGCTAACGTGGAAGAAAGGAGTGATAGTAACTGTGTAGCTGCTGACCTGAAAGTAATGTAAATTCCAGTCTCATGCTAGTTTAATACATCCTGCAACATACGGCAAACTCTTCTACATTTTTACGATATTTAAATAATGGTAATTTATAACTGTCAAGGTTTTTTAAAAAATTTTTGTCTCCACATAAATACATATTAAATCTATTCAATTTATTCATCTTTATTTTAATATATCAGTATATAAATACCTATTTTAATGTATATTAAAGTTTTACATTAATATCTTAAATTTCTTCATCTTTATTTCCCCTAGAACTGTTTTTCTAAATGTTCATGAATATTTTGAATTTACGTCTTTCAAAATACTAATATTTCTTTTTGACTTTAATTCCCCTAATGTTCTATGTTAGTTCAGGTCCATCCTCTAATAATTAGACATCAAGATGAAATTCCAAAAGCAAGACTTTTATCAAGGGAAATACTTGTGAGAGAAACGAGGAGGAAGCAGGGTAAGGCTAGGAGAAGCTTCGGACCACAGGCATTCTGACCCCAAGGGAAGACGAGGAAGAGAAGCTTGTATAGAAACCTTCTAGCCTATTGTGTTATTTAAGTGACTGCTGTGTCATTTAAGTAAGGTTCTGTGTGATGATCAGAGTATCCTCCATCCATAGTCAGATGTCAGAGAAGTGCTGTGTCCCCTAGAAAAGGACCTGCCTTAGCATCTCTGCTTTTCTCAGTCATTATCTGCAAGCAGCCACTAGGAAGCATGACCTTCATATAAACACAGCAATAGACTTCAGAGCACAGCCACTGGGACCTCAGTCAAGTGCTTCCTACAGTTGGAGATCTGTGAGGCACACTCTCATTGATGCCACGTGTATATGTCCGATAAGAGGTTTTCAGTCAATTATCTACTTGGATCTTCTGGAAAATAGTTATGCTGTCATAGTCAGAAAATACATTTTATGTATCTTTCATTTAATCCAGACACAAACATCAAAATCCTAATAGTAGTTCCAACACTTACTGTTACTTGAGAATAGATAGACTCCTGTAGGTCAAGTGAATTAGGATTCGGAAGAATGACGTTTGACCTTCATCTCAGGCTGATGGACTAAAACTTAAAGGCACTGGGATTAACTTGTCATCAGTTTTAGAGGTAAATATCATGGAAAGGTCAACACGCCTTGGATGGATCATAGAGTCTAAATATGAATATTGATTTTGAGTGGGAAATGCAGTATCTTACACAACTTATCAAAGTTTGAAAAGAGAATTATTTACAAATTTTCCAAACAAATATGCTACCAATATAGATATACCTTTGGCATTTATTTAAAATGGAATTGTCTCAACATTGATTACTAAACTTTGCATGATTTAATGCCACATTTATATTCATTTTTAAGAATTCATGTATTTTAAAATGTCATTTCCATTAGACAGAAATTCAAAATTTATGTTTGTATATGTAGAAAAGAGAAGGAGCAAACGTTTCTAAGGCATTTTATTAACCTCTTGAACAAGTTGATATTTTGCTAACTCAGAAAAATATTGAGTCAATTTCCAGTATTATTCAAATTTAATATATTAAATCCAAAATAAGGATATTATATGTATAAATATCTTGACATTAAAAAAATTCAAATACCCGTGAATGAAGAAAATAATCTTCTCAGTTTTCCTGTCATACTAAAAAATTGATACTTTGCTGATTAATGTGAATTAATCTTGTATTAAATGACAATGCCAAAATTTTATGCAATTTATATTTAAAATGAGTTTCCTCAAGAGACTTTATACTGAATACTGAAGTATAAAAATAGAGTAGATTTTATAAGAACTATAAAGGATTAATAGTTCACCTCCTGATATGCAAATACAGAGAAAAAGTGTAATTTAAAATTCAGAAAGCCATTTTTAGATACTATGAATAATGAAAACAATGTTATCACAATGGCCAAGGAAATGGTGAGTGAGAAGTTCTAGTTACTATCTCATTGTTCAAGAGAATTGAAATTACACTGAGGAACATTGCCATCATTCTTTAAACCATGCAAGTTTGGACTTGAGGATTTTGAGAAAAGATTTTTAATCAGTAAGTACAATAATTTAGGGAGAACTATTCGTTTTGATTTCCAAGAATGAAAAAGAAAGGAAAGCTTGTCTGTAAACTATTAATATAATATAAAATAAACCCACATACAGAGAAGATCACTTGTTTTCTATTTTAATTTAGATTTATTGTCCAATATGAGAACTTAGGTTATCTGAAGATAACCTTTCCTGTCTTTTTATGGCACTACTAAAATTTTGTCTCAAAGATAGTAGATTTTGCCTCGTTAACTATTAAAAGAATGACTCTGACAATACTTCATTACAGCTTTCATAGGCTTCCTCTGTATCCACATGGAATTTAATTTCTCCTTCACAACTTCAAGGTGACGTATAGTTTTACATTTGCTCATATAACAGAGTGAAGCAAGTCTTCCAGCAACAAGGGACTCGAGTTCGAACAGTTCATTTTAAATTTACTGTTTAGAATTTAAAATAAGTTTTTCCAATACAAAGAGTGTTATGATAGATTCCATTCTTCTTTCAGTGCATTATACGTATAGAAAATTTTAGTTCAAGTGCAACATGTAAGAGGGCGCATCACTTTTGTTTTATTAATAGTTGATGCAAACTTTTTTTGAGGCAAAATAACATGATAGAATCCTAAGGTTTGAATCCAGGCTATATCACTTATTTGTTGGTTGAATTTGGGCAAGTTGCTTAAGCTCCCTGAGGCCAGCTTGTCTAAGGATACAATAATTACTTTATATATGAGACAAAGAGTTTTGTGAAGTACGTAGTACAGAGAACATGCTTAAAAAGGAGTTGTAATACTATTATTTAATAGGTTTATGTCAGGTATTTGGCATGCAAATGTTTTTAAAATGTAGTCCTAGTTCTTAAGGAGCTTATACACAGAAAGGAAAGATGTCATCCTAATTACCTAAATCCTGTGGCTGCCCCCAGGGAATGAGATAAAAAGCCTTCGGCATCCGTGATTGGAAGAAAGACACAAGTTTACCATGTTATCAACACAAGAGAAGTGGGAGACAGTAACTGTCAAAAAAGCAAATTTGGATATGAGGAAGAAAATATAGATGTTAAGCAAACAAAAATGTCACAGGTCCATTTCTCTACCCTCGTTGGTTAATGGATCATCACTAGTTTCTGGATGAAAAAAAAAAAAAATCTTAGGGAGATATCACTCTAATTGCAATGTGGAAAATGGATTTCTACTGAATTTGAATGTTAATTTAAATAATAATGCCTTGAATATATGTGTGATGGTTAAAGGTATATTGTTCTCATTACCAAATATGAATTTGTTATTCTTGATATCATCTTCTAATCATCTTCATAAACAAATTAACTCCTTCAACTATTGTCATATAGAGATGTATTCCCACATGTTAGAGTCAAGTTCCTGATGTCCAGCATGAACATAGCCAGGAGAGAGAAGTGCCCCTCACAGAATTGTTTGTGAAGACTATTTCTATCTCACTGATGCTATATTTTACTTGCCTATTTCCCAAAGTTCCCAGAATGTTCTGTGAGCTGTGATTTCAGTTGAGGATAGGATGAGCTAGAAGAAGTGAGAAAATTAAAATTATTTCTCCTTGAATTTTACTAATTCATCCAGCATCTTTGTCCACTAATTTCTGCAACACACATTGTTTATCCAGATACAATGCTATGTACACAGTATAAAATAGAATGGTTAATAGGGCAGACGTGGTCTGTCTAAAGTCTACAATGTATTGGAGAAGACAAACATTGAAAACATTTACAAATGAGGTAAAATGACTGCTATATTCAAATGGTATTTGTTCCTTTCCTCATCCTGTCAATGAATAATTATTGAGAACTTATAGTGCTCTGGAAATAATAACGCTGAACAACATATACACTGTCCTACCCTCAGAGACCTTATAATCTATGTAGTAGACAGAAATTAATCAAATGGTCAGAGGAATCAGATTATAATTACAAACTGATAAGTGATATCAAAGAAAGGAACATGGTTCTATGAGCTCTTATAACAAAGTACACAACCATAGCATTGGGGGATATCCGAGAAAATTTCTCAGGAAATGGTAGGAGTTGACATATGAATGAATAGTAATTAGCCTTGTGGGTGAAGGAATAGTGGGCTCAGGAATTGAGAGGAAATTGAGTGCATAAAAATCTTAAATTGGAAAGGAAGAAGACCCATTCCAAGAATTTGAAGAAGGTCGGTTTGGCTAAAGAAGAGAGAATGAGAGCAAAGTACTGTAAGATGAGGCAGAAATTTGGGGCATATTAAAGATTTGAGTTTTATTCTATGAACACTGGGAAGCCATTGAAATCTGGTAAGCATGTAGTGGGCTGAGGAAGCTTAGACTGATAGAGATGTAAGTAGACGTGAACTTTAAAAAGATGACTGACTACTCTCTGGAAGTCAGATGGGAAATGAGTCA